TTTCAGTTTACCATCGCAACATTTCATGACTTTAATGCATCATGTTTTTAATATATCATCACCAACATATGAATGTTTCAACCTTCCTAGCTGCTCTTCCTTCTGAACAATTTTGAGAACAATTGTTCTAAAAATTTCCCACATCACACACATGCTACCATCACCACCCTCACCCTCTCGTATTATCATCTTCAGAATTATTCCCTTTTTGACTTAACCTCTATCTTATGTAACTCACCACATTCTAGCTAAATGGGTGTATGATGACTGTCTCTTCTCACACTCACAGACATGACACATCATCCCAACATCCCAAGGACAATACTGGGCTCACATATAGATTTTTGGACTTCTTGGAATTGTTACCCACGGTACTTATCGCGAGCAACAGATCGTTACCTCTCTAGCCATGGGTGTTTGCTCGGAATCCTTCATCAATCCGTATGCATAATCTGAAATTCCATTTCTGTCTCATTGCTCTAGATGTAAATTTCTTGTAATTTTTAAAAATTTCTTTTGTGGGATTTCCTGTGGAACCTGCAGCCGGGTAGAACCCACCTCACCCTCCAGTGCCTGGCACCCAGTAGGTGTTACTCCTCCCCAAATTGTTAAATGGATAGAGTTATCCCAGCATAGTAAAATGACTCTGGCAAGCACCCATTTCAAGATGGTAGCATCGATGGAAAGTATTTAGGAAAACTTATTCATACTACCAGGCTTAATTATTTTTTCTTCTCTGAAAAAGGCTCAAGGTCTATTGCCAACAAAGAGAGTACCCCACTTTCAGACTTAAAGTTGTGACAATTAGAATCCCTTTAACCTCTTTCCCTAACCATTTCTGTCTCTTGTTCAAAAAATCGTTGTGTGTGTTTTTTAAGAGAAGGCACAAGTACTTGCCATTGTACTGAATTTATAATTTCTTGCTGCTTGAAAAGCCCCTTTTCTTTTTCCCACACCCAGATGACCTCTGAAATAAGACCGGGAGCTCTTGTTTTAAAACCGTCTTAAGCATACTTGATTCTTTGTATACACGAGTTTGTCTCCCTCGGAGTGGGGGAGAATATCCACTGATTCCATTACACTGGAACTTCTTTTGGATCAGTTCCTGTTGGTGGCAAATCCTTGCCTACTGAGGGTGGATTGAATTTTGGGGAACAACCAAAAGCCTTTTTTCAGAGCGTCCCTGATGACTAAGTTTGGAGATCAAGCTGGATCAAGCAAGACCATATGACTTGGGGTCAAAGTCAAACAAGGCCTCTCTGTAGAGTAATGAGGCCGAGTGGCTTTGCTATGTGGCTCTGAAGGTGTCTCTTGAGGTGACACCCACAGAGAATGCTGAGGGTTTCGTGCACAGTCAGTGGACCCTTGCTGGCTCCCTTGGGTGTCGGTGAAAGTGATGAACAGGAGACAGTGGAACTGGATCCCTGCTGCTTCTGCTCGCTGGCGTCTGTGAATCCGAGCAGCCTGTATCACCCTAGACCCCGGTTCCTCATTTGTGAAACGAGGACCATCATATTCTCCTCCAGTGTGGTTTTTAGGATAAATTTAATACCGAGAGTAAAATACTTTGTCTAGCGCATGGTGCCTGCTGATGCCCAATGGGTGTCAGTTCCTCTTCTCACTCTTCCCCTTCCTTATCTTAAATGAGGCCTGTGGTTTGAAGATGCCATTTCAGGAACGTTTGCCCCAAACTCACTCATGTTTCTTAAAAAACTACAACCACAAAATTATGTCAGGGTACCCTGCGTGCTGAGTTTCCTTCCACCTGGAGCCATGTGTATAATGGAGAGAAGAACGGACGGAAGAGATGAATAACCTGACCACCACCTAAAAAAGGATGCCAGCAGCCCCGGAGAGACTGGTTCGCCAGAGCTTCTCCGCATCCCACCCCTGCCTGGCCCATGGAGACCCCAGCCCCGTCTGCCCAGGCTGAAAGAGCAGAGGGTGGGATTCCTGAGTAATTAAAGGGAATTTGGAAGGCTGGGATGTTGCGGAATGTTAGATCAGTAGCTAGAACAGCATGTGGTGTTCTTTAGGCAGGCTTCATTGAATCCATACAAAAAAAGAAAGAGGGGCTGCCTGCCGTCTGCCCATTTATCAAACAGTGAAGCTCAACTCTCACAGCTCCACAAAAGTGTTTGACTGTTTGCTGAGTCTTGCTCCAGAAATTAAAAGCTGAACAGCCTTAGCAGGGCTGAACCGACCCTGCATTTTGAGACTCAAACTAAATTGTGCTGGGCTTTCAGATTCAGGGACCAGCTGATTATTTGGTGAAAGGAAAGGAGAATAATTTGTAATTTGCAGCCCATAAGAAACACTTAAAAAAAAAGCAAACTCCCTTCCCACAGGTTTTTGTTGCGGCTGGAAGGAGGAGGTGCTGTCTGCGACAGCTTTCTTTGCTCAGAGTGGGAAAAGTCTTGACCTCCAGTTGGGCAGAGAGCGATGTGGTGCAGCAGGGCCTCCACCCATCCCCCACCCCCAACTCCTAACAGGCTTCCTTTCCTCTTCGTGCTTTATTTGAAATGACCTTTCTCTCTTTTTGGAGGAGGAGGAGAGGATTTGGCCATCACATATTTTTAGAGAAAAAGTATTTTCACAAATGGAATTAAAGATTTTAACCACGCAAATATATTGCTTGGGAGACCATAAGATAACCACAAAAGCCTGGAAACTGGGTTTTCTGAGAATTCTCTGAAGAGCCATCAAAGGATTTGAAGGATACGTCTGTCGATGAAGAGAATGTGCTAGAAAAGGGTGATGCTCCTGGAGGACATCAAGCGGGGGGCAGAGCCTGGACGATAGGTTGAAACAGTGTCGTTATCCCCATTTGATAGATGAAAAAGCCTGATGCTCAAATGGAAGAAAGAGGCACAGGTCATTTTTTGGCTCTCCAATTTAGCACGTTTTTAAAAAGTGGTAATACCCTTCAATACTTGATGGGATTGGGAGAGGAAGAGGATGACGAGAGGTGAGCTGGAATGAAGGCAGAACCTGGTGGGTTTGGACTTTGTCTGGAGTCTTCAGGAAGGAGTGGTTGAGGTGAGGCATGCCTGGCAGCAGGGGCAGTGAGGCCATTGCAGCAATCCAGGTGTGAGATTATGGCCCTGGGGCCAATGGAGATGGAGATGCGGGGAGAATCAGGATATATTCACAATAGAGGGAGGATGGAACTTGGTCACAGACTGGAAGTAGCAGGTGCACCGGTTTGGAGAAGGAAGAGCTCTTACATGGTCAGGGGATCAGGAAAGGCTTGGAAGAGGGTGTAAGTGGATCAGTAGAGATTCATCCGCACCTCTGAGAAGGTGCTCATAGTTCGTGCCCTGCCAGTGGGAAATGAGCAGCAGCATCTCTTTTTTTTTTTTTTTTGCAGTACGTGGGCCTCTTACCGCTGTGGCCTCTCCCGCCGCGGAGCAACAGGCTCCGGACGCGCAGGCACAGCGGCCATGGCTCACGGGCCCAGCCGCTCTGCGGCATGTGGGATCTTCCCAGACCGGGGCACGAACCGCGTCCCCTGCATCGGCAGGCGGACTCTCAACCACTGCGCCACCAGGGAAGTCTGTGCAGCAGCATCTCTTATGAAGGACAGTGTGCAGGCTCCCTCTGTCTGACCACACCTGCCTGCTCGATGCTGTATTAGAAGAGAAGGGAGTTAGAAGAAATGTGGCTAGACTTAAACATCCCTGGTAATAAAAGAGAATGAATGAGTCATCAGGATAATCACTGGTCATAATGGGCAATGTTTATTGAACCCTTACTAAGTGCCAGGCACTGTTGCTAATTATTTACATATGTTTACTGTTTAAATTTTCACAAAAATTCTCTGAGGTAGGGGTTGGTATCATTCCCATTTTACAAATGAGGAAGCTGAGTCATTTGAATGTTAAATAACTCGCCCAAGGGCCCCAGAATAACAAATGGCTGAGCTTGGATCTAATCCAGGTAATCTAGCTCCAAAGCCCTTGCACAGAACCCCTCTACATACTGCCTCTTCACAAACACCATCGCTGTACACACCAAGAAAGAGGCCCATTGGTTGTGTTTTCACCTTGGCAGAAGGCCCCTCCTAGGTTTCTGGCAGATCTACGTGGTTGTCCTGGGAAGCAGCACTTAGCGTCGTCCACTTGTCAAATGAGTAAAGGGTACTCTCCAGGCCAGGGGTCGGGCTTCATGCCTTCATTCGACAAACATGGACTGAGCTCTTCGCATGTGCCCTGGGCCAGGTCCCTGCTCTCATGGACTATGTTCAGGTGGGGGGAGATGTGAAATAAGCCCTCAGAGAGTAAGCGAGCAAGACAACTGCGGAGAGTGCCGAGAGGAGGACAGAAAGCAGGGTCGCATGCTGGGGTGCTGCATGTGTTACTCTGCACCCGCTGGTCAGAGAAGGCCTCTGGGCAGAGGGACCTTGCCCAGAGGCCCGAATGTGGTAGGAGAAGGAACTAATCTTGTGACGATCTGGGTGAAATTGCATTCCTGATGGAGAGAGCTGCAGTACAAAGGCCCCCAGTGGGGGGAGGAAGCCTGGCATGTTTCAGGAACAGGGAAAAAATAAAATAAAAAGCAAGCCAGTGTGGCTGGGATGCAGTGAGGAAGGGCGAGAGTCGGAGGAGAGGAAGGCCAGGAGGCAAGGAGGGACCGGGTTACAGAGGCTGAGGTGGGGGTGAGTACCAGGTGCAGCGGAAGCCTTTGGAGGGCTGTAAACGGGGGTAACAGGTTCTGGATGAAAGCGTACACTGCCTACGTTGTGAGGAGGGGGGTGAAGCCCAGAGCGGCCAAGTGAGACCCCCCTGAGGATCCAGAGCCCCACCGTCACTCAGGTGCTCCCCCCCCCCCGCGGCGTCCCCAGCACCAGTGGTCTTCTCGGGGTTCCTCTTGGACTCCTAATAACTCATCTCAACCAAGGGTCTGTGTTTTCCTTCATTCTTTAGATTGCTGTTTGTAAACTCCGGCACTGTGCTCCCAGCTTTTCCCAGCGTGTAACTGATTCTTGTGTTGACTTACAGATCATAAGGCAGCAGTTTCCTCAGTTAACCACCAGAAGACTCGGGACCCGAGGACAGTCAAAGTAAGCACCGACAGCCCTTCCACCTGCAGAGTGCATGTCCACGGGCCTCCAGTCAGATCGGGACCCCAGGCCTTTCATCCTGAGCTCAGTCCACAGGCCTGGGGGGGAAGTCTGTGGCTGGCGGGAGTGGCCCCCTCTCCCAGGAGCCCTGAGAGCAAGGCCGTCCAAAAGGCCAGCTGCTTTAAGGAATCCGACATGGTGCCACCCTGCCTTCAGTTGTTTTTGTGAAAGAGTCTTGGGCGTTCTTTAAAAGGAGCGCCTTGTGGTTTCTTGACCAATCTCCAGGTTACTTGGATTGTTTTGGTCAACAAACTCTCTACTCTGACAGTATCCAGTCTGCCAGAGAAGCAACCCTGTACCAATCCCTGCAAGGGAGATGGGGTGGAAAGCTCCAGCCATGCTGTGGTACCCAGGATGTACTGCTTCCCATTCATCCATTCGGAACCAACCAACCAACTAATGTTTGCTTCACATTTTCTACATGTCAGATAAATGGTGCTAAGTGCTGGGGACACACGAGCAAACAGGTTTCCGCCCTCCTGGATGGAACATGTATTCTCCAGGGGAAGACAGACAAAAATGATCATCAGATTGTGAAGAGGGTTGTCCTAGAGAATAACAAAAGGTTGGTCTGGTTTAGAGAGGGTAGCCCTGGAAGGGCTTACTGAGGAGGTGACCCGAGGAGTGAGAGGCTGTGTGGATGCCTGTCTGCCAGGTGAGAGTCAACGGGAAGGGACTCTGCCTATTTAGCCCAGGCTTCACTAAAATCTGGATTTATAGAGACTTGCCTCGAAGGGTGTTTCAAAAAACTGTTGGAAGTGACTAGGTGTTCCATGAAGAAGGTCTGTTGGCCATGTAAGTTTGGTAAGCACTGAGCTAAACAGGGTCCTTTATGCAGGACTTGTCAGAACCTTTATTATACTACTGTACACCATGATTCCACTAGAGGGTGCCTTATTATGCAGCATTTCTAAACGTTTTTACCATGCTGAGTAGCAGATCAACACATACTGACTTATAAAATAATGAAACTTTTTGTTAAAAAACAACCACCACATAGGACTTGTAAGACTTGTCACTAAAAATGTTTCAAAAGCAGCAATGTCCAATACTGCCCCCTGACTCTACCCCTGGCCATCCCCAGGCAGCACATTCCCATCCTCCAAGGGTGGGTTTAACTTTGGAGCCAAATTAGGTAAAGAAAGTGGAAAGTGGACAATCAAACTGGGGAAAACCCTTTGTAGTAAAGTTCTGAAAATAAACGAGGCTCATTTTTTTCATGTGGCTCAGAAGCTCTGGGGGCAATTTCCAAAGAGACTTACAGAAAATTTTTGAGCAAGGGACATTTTGGAATAAATTTCTAATAATTTTTCAGGATGACTCCTCTCATGAACAAATCTCACTCATAATGAAAAATTCCAGTATTTGTTTAAAAATGAGCTTTCAGCCCTGGTAAGAGTATAGAGTAGAAAACCCAGATTCTTCCTTATTTGTTTGCTGGTGAGCACAGTGGTTGGCACACAAGGGCAAATCAATCCACAGAGAAGTGGATGGTTGGAAGACTCTTGAATGAATGGAAAGGAATTATTTTTCTCCAGCTTACGGTCTTTTTAGAGTCACTGGCTCCAATACATTGTTGCCATTTCTGAGATAAAAGTGTACAAATAGATAGTAAAGATAGATAGATAGTAAAGACAGGCAGTAAAAGTAGTAAAGATAGAACAGCATGGTTTCCCATCCTGCATAAGTTTGGAGAAAGTTTCCTTCTGTCTACATGTAAGAGCCTGCTTTTGTTTTCTTTTTCTTTAACCTAGAGGTTGGCAAATTAGGCAATACCTTCTTTAAAAATTCAGTTTCATTGTATCCTCTCCATAAGGATCCTCCAAGGTTGGTCTCACCTTCAACCAATTGAAAGGTAATAAGAAGCTCTAGTCTCCAACATGCCATTTGGCCTTTTAGAGAAAATCCCTCAGCAAACTTACTTGGACAGAATAAATTGGGGGGGCAGGGGGCTGATGGAGAGTGTGTTGACGTGCCTTACAGACCTGAAATAGAAACCTGAGAAGTGGTCAGAGCACTAGCTTCGCTGCAGTTGCCAATTCTAGCAACATACAGTCTGAAAAATCAAGAGGCGGTCTGACCTGAACATGTTATTACTAGCTTGATCTTAAGAAAGTATAAGGGGGCACTTTGTAAAGTTAGGGAGGCGTGTCATAACTGCCCTCCCGCCTGGAGGGGCTTCCAGAGCAAATGGAACCCACCCCCACCCCCACTACCAAAGGAGTGCCCTCCAGGTGGAAAGGCAGTTATGACAGTTGGGAAGTAGAAGGCGTAGAAGACAGAGATCAGCTCAACACAAAGAGGAACTTTCTGATCACTGCACCAACCTAAAATGAACTGGGCTACCTTCGGAGGGTCTGAGTGCTTCATCCCAGGAGGCATTCAGATAGAGGCGAGATGCCCACTGAGCAGAAGTATCACAGAATGGTATCAGGAGCGAAGGGGGAGCGGGGAAAGGGGAGGTTACCTGTGCTCCGCTCTCCTCTCCCTGGGAAGCCTCTCCCAGAACTCAGACTGCTTTCTCTTTTGTATTATCTCGTGACTGTCACCACCATATCTCCATGAGTAGAAAAGAGTAGTTAACACGTTGTACAGCATTTCTGAAAGTGAGGTCCATGAATTACTTACATTAGTATTGCCATGTGATCGTAAAAATCCACTCTGGATCTGCTAAATCAGAATCTTTGGAAGCAGGGCCTGGGAGTCTGTATTTTAATATGTTTTGTAGGTGATTCTTATTAGTAGTAAAATTTGACAGTCACCGGCTCAGCGCTTAAAAGCACTTTTAGAGGTTCAAATCCTGCCTCTACTGCTTACTCACTATATGATCTTGGGTGTGTTACTTAAATTCTCTGGGTCTTAGTTTCCTAGTCTGTAATATGGGGATAATAATTAGTTCTAGCCTCCCAGGGGTTTTGTGAGATGAAATCGGGCAATGTGTGTAAAGCACTTAGTACCTTGTTAGCTGCTGTGTTAGAATAGTAGGTAATGGCGGTCTCATAGAGCCAGGAATGTACTGCAGGGGCCTAACCCAGCAGGCTTGCTGATCTCAAATGGATGTGCCTCAGAATTATCTGTGGTGCTCATTTCAGTGCTGATTCTCGGCCCCTTATTCCCTGTCCTGAATCCTTAGGTCTGGGAAGGGGCCTTGGAATCTGTATTTTTATTACAGTCCATAAGTGGCTCTGACAAACATTAAAATTTGTAACACCACCATGTGGTGTGTTTTCTTAGTGTAGCACAGTGGCTTTGTAGTCAAACCTGCTTCCTCCCCTAAACAGCTGTATGACCTTGAACAAATTACTTAAGCTTTCTTGCCTCCATTTTCTCATCTGTAGAAAGATTATAATAATCCCCATTTCATAGAATTATTTTACAAATTAATGTATGTAAAGCACTTTCCAAAGTGCCCAGCACATAGCAAGTGTTCAATAGATTGTAGCTAAAACCCAAACAAAATGCAGCCTCCATCCCTCATTCGTCTTAATTGAAAACATTGCTGTTATTAAGCCCATTCTGAGTTAATAAAAGGTCCTGGTCTTTGTCTTACATTCAGTGTCAACTGAGATACTGAGTTTATCCTTTTTAAGATACAGTTCTTTAAGACTGCCATTTATTGATTAAGAAAAACATAGACCAAATGAATTTTTGTTGGTGGTACAGTTAACAGTCATAAACACACTCTTCTTCTTGGGTCCATGTATATAAGAGATTAAGTACAAATGGAAATTTTTTTATCCCACTTTCTGCTTTGCAAAGTATTTGACTTAACATTTTCTGTAGGAGGCAATTTTGGTTATTTTTACCTGTCTGATTGATGGCTGGCAACATGGAACTTTGCTTTAATTCTAGACTTCCAACATGTTGAGCCTTGCAGAGGAGTTAACTCTTCTAGCTCAGGGAGGATGGGTCCAGCCGTCTTTGGCCTTGGGCTCCCGCGGCTCAGGAACCTCCACCTGATGAGGGTGCATGTGGGTCTCTCTCTCTTCCTTTGTGGCCCAGGTATCATTACTACGGCATCGCGGTGAAGGAAAGCTCCCAATATTATGATGTGATGTATTCCAAGAAAGGAGCCGCCTGGGTGAGCGAGACGGGCAAGAAAGAAGTGAGCAAACAGACGGTGGCATATTCACCCCGGTCCAAACTTGGAACATTGCTGCCAGAGTTTCCAAATGTCAAAGATCTAAATCTGCCGGCCAGTCTGCCAGAGGAGAAGGTGACCACGTCTGAAGTGTTGCTGGGAGTGGGTGGTTTCTCTCTCTCTCTCTCTCTCTCTCTCTCTCTCACACACACCACAGCACACACACACACACACACACACACACACACACACACACATACACTTTTATTACAAAATGGTGAGTTTAAAAATATAAAGATAGAAATCAGATTCAAGTATGGACTTTAGTTGACAATAACAATGTATCCGTGTTGGTCCATTAGTTGTGACAAATGTTCCATCCTAATGCAAGATGTTAACGGTAGAGGTAACTGGGTTTGAGCTATAAGGGAACTGCCTGAACTATCTTCAAAACTGTACTACAACCCAGTACTATTCTAAAATTAAAAGTTTCTATCTCTCTACCTATCTATCTTACTTACCTTCCTACCCATCTATGATGTTGTACTGTCTCATTTCACAAGGGCCCCCTCCTCTGGATTGCTTTTATATAGGATAAAGTTTATTTTCCCATGTGCTGCAGAGGATGTGGTGAAATTATAGTCCCATAGACAAAAAAGATTTTATAGGTACAGTGAATCGGATAGTTTGGGCCATAGGGTATTGGGAAGAAATAATTGGAAACACAAATTTGGAGACTTTCCCCTGGGTGGTCACATCCTAATGCACCTACCTTGTGCTGCCCAGTGTGCCAGTAGGTGATGAGTTTCTACATATCGCACTGGGTTGCAGTGGTGAATGAGACTTGAGTCCTGCTCTCAGGAAGCTTACAGTCGAGCAGGGAGACAGATGCTTGCACAAGCAAACTAAGTTTATATAAAGCATATATCTAGGTTCTAAAACAAAAAGAATATCTGAAAAGAATGCTTTAAATCTAAGAACTAGATAAATCCTTATTTTTTCTCAAATTTGCTTTCTTGCTCAACAAACTTCCTGTACCATTGCTTTAAAATTCTTAGTTAAATGGAGCTGGAGATGCAATTCTTTTGCTAAGCAGATTCTAGAGAATTTCCAAATGTCTTTTTGTGATTTGGGCAAAAGCACCTCTTCTTATGAGTACATGCTGGGTTTTAACTTTTCAGTATCTCAGCTGATGAGAATTTAATTCGGTAGGCCTCTACTATGTGCCAGGTACTGTACTAAATGCTGGATACACAAGCATGAATAATATGCTATTTTTATTTTCCCAGAGTCCACAGTTTCAGGGGGTGGAGATGGGGCAGAGAGAGAAACCCATGCTTTCCATACCACAGGGTGAGTGCTCTGAGGGAGAAACACACTCAGGTGTTATGGGAGCACAGAGGAGGGAGCTGAGAGTCAGCGGGCCCCACCTAGTGAAAATGAGTTTTGTCTGGGTCTTGCAGGATGAGTAGGAATTAGGCGAATTTCATCCCCTCCACATAGAATAAATGACTTGAAATTGAAATTCCAAGGGCAGAAGTAACACGTATTAATGTATGCCTTTATTGTTGATCCCTCCTCACCCCTCACAGGTTTCTACCTTTATTATGATGTACAGAACACACTGTCAGAGAATACTGGACACTGTAATAAGAGCCAACTTTGATGAGGTAGGTCAACAAGTGTTGAGCTATGAATACTCTGCGTTAAAATATTATGATAACACGAACTTCTATTTCACGAGCTCCCTGCTAGTTGCCAGGCCTCTGGAAGCCCTTGATGCACATTAGCTCATTTAATCCTCACAGTGATCCTAGGAAGCAGGCATTGTTACTATCCCCATTTTACAGATTCTCTGTGTGAACAGCAGTTGGCATGGCTTTTTACTTGCTCTGTCTAGTGAACTGCATCCTGCCCAGTTGGCCTCCTGGGAACACAGTTTTGCCAAGGTATCATTACACCCAGAATTATACATTCAGAAAAACGAAAGGAAAGCTGTTCTTTATTTTTGATTTAACCTTTTCCTGAGGCTTATCCGCTTCAGTGCATTTGGAGCTGGTTACCCTCCATTCTCAAGGTCTGGTCCCCATGTCCATCTCACACTGCCGGTAGGGCCATCTTTGAATACAAACAATCTAAGAATTTCATGTCATTTTTATTTAAAAATATTACAGTTAAGGAATGGGGAGGAGAAATAAGGGAGGATTGAAGCACTGGTTATATAACCAAAGAGACAATAAAATCTTCTTGCCTAAAATGCCATCCAAAAGAATCTTCCAACAGGATGGCAGGAAACCGCACATTTCACCCCATAAACCTGAGGCCTTTCTGTTGAAAGAAAATGCCTTTCGGGCAGGAAAAAAAAAAAAAAAAAAAAAAAAAAAAAAAAAAAAAAAACTAAACTAAACCAAAGACACCACCCTGAGATCAGGTGTGGGCATTCAATTTCAGGGAAGATAACCCAGGCTCTACAGGGGTTATAAAAATCAGTAGTTATTGGTGAAAAAGATGCTGGAGATTCCCTTTTTGTGTGTTTTAGGGGGGCATGTGCTGTTGGAGATGGAGGGGAAGAGGATGAGGTAAGGCAGTGAATGCTTGTTGAGCACTTGCCGGTACTTGCGCACCTTGTTTACTGTTCCCTCAGGAGCCCAGTGTAGCAGCGGTACCACCGTATGTGAGCTGTCGCTTGGTTCTTAGACATGGCTCCAGAAGAGGTGGCAGCGTGTTGGCAGAGAAGGACTATTCTTCCTGCTCTTGACTTTCATCCACTAGATTCTTAAATTCCCCAAATTCCTTGAGTGACCATTTACATGGAATTATTTTCTTTTTAAAGAAAGCAAACTCACTGCTTTCTCTTGTACTGTAGTTTGGCTATGTCTCACGAATCAAAGACAGTGCACTGAGATCTGGGCAAACCATGACTCATGTCTGGTTAAGACAACACTGGCTTCTGTAACAGATAAGCCCCAAGTCTTAACACAGTGAGACAATACGTGTCACAATCCAACGTGGACGCCCTTGGTTGGAAGGCTGGTTTCTGGGGGTGGTTCAGGGACCCAGGCTTCTTCTACCTTGTGGCCACACCCTGCCCTAGAGCCTTGGAGTCCCCTGTTCAGCTGATGGATGGGGAAAAGGATTACAGGGAAGACATCCCCTTTTTTAACCTTGTCAGCCCAGAAATAAAATGCATCACTTTTGCCCATAATCTGTTGGCAAGAGCTGGTCTCACAGCCCCACCTTGAGGTAAGGGGAGCTGGGAAGTGTGGCCCCTCACTGGGCGGCAGCTTATACTACTAGAGAAGAGGAGCTCTGGTGGATAGCTGTCCCTCTCTGCCACAAAAGTACTAACAACAAAACTGGTGACAGTCCTCCCTTATGTTCATATCTAGCTTTATACATCTCAAAACTTGATCATCATCTCACTTCACTGAATTCCATTCATCAATTCCAACACTTGTTGGGCATCTAATGGTGCCATATGCTGCTCTGGCCCCCAGAAATGGGGTGACAGGACACGGTCTTGAGGGAAAAAAAAGGCACGCACACAAGCAATTAGGATGCAGAATATATGGTCCAGAAACCTTGTGAGGGCTTGAGTGCTCCTGCGGGAAAAGTGCTAGACTCGGAGCTTAGGCTTGGATTCAAGACGTGGCTCAATTCCTCGTCCTAGAAATGAAGATAAAAATATCATCCCTGCCTATCCAGTTCACAGGATTACTGGAAGGAGGAGATGAGACAGTGCCTGGTAAAAGGTCATACAAATGCTTGCTCTCGTCAGATACGTCAACCAGAGAGTTAAGAGAGGTCGCACAGTTGGTTAGATCTTTGTCACCTAACACTGCTGGTCCAGTATTTCTTTCTACCCCTGGGCAGGGGTATTTGGTGGCCGTTTTTGAGACGGCTGATCGAGATGTTGTTCATTCTACCCAAACACGAAAGAATGAAGGGGGGTATTTTACCTCTGATGGGCATGGCTTTCTCCTACAGCTGAGAAAAGTCATTGGTAAATAAATGGTGGATGCATCTGGTACACTTTGAGGGTGTAGTTTGTTTCAGGTCTTCAAGATCTTTAATATCCATTGAGGTCACAGTGTAGACTAGTATTACAATCTTACATTATCTTATTGTTTGCCTGTTCATTGTTTGTCTCCTACCACCACCATGGAAGCCCTTGAGGGCAGGGACCTTGTTTGTCTTGCTTACTACTGTATCCAGGTCAATTATACTCTCAGGCTCTCAGTAAATGTTTCTTGGGTGGGTGAGTGGATGGATGGATGGATGGGTGGATGGGTGGATGGATGGAAAACCGCCACAGACTTATAGCATTGTCAGGCAAGCACAAAGAGTCCAAGTCTGCAGGTAGGGGACTTGCTCCAAAGCCTTCTCCAAACTACATTGCACAGAGAGCTGTAAAATCAGATAGTCCTGTGTTTGATCCCAAATTCACCACTTTCTAGCCTGTGACCTTGAGCAAGGTACTTAACCTCTCTGAGCCTCAATTTCTTTTTCTGTAAAATGGAGATAATAACTATATCTACCTCACAGTAAAATTGTGATGATTACATGGAAATTGTATAGATAAAGTGTCTGATTTCAAACTCAGAGCATAATAAGTGGTAGGTATTTTGGTAGTTATTGTTTTGTCAAGTTCCTTTTAACACTGTAGCAATTAAGTACCCATGACTGGAAGTCATCAGATATGTTTCCACAAGGTGCCAATATATTAGGAATGAACTAAACATAGGCATGGAAAAGAAATAGAAAACTTACTTAGGTATTCTTAAGGAAATCATCTCCTGATACTTCATTGAACAGAGAGAAAAAGGGCTGGGAGTTCAAGGGACTGAAGTAGATAATCCAGGAAACTTGGTTTAAATAATCATTTTCAATCATTTACCCCTGATTCGCTCACCATTTATGCTTGCAAGGAGTGAGGAGAACTTTTCCCTTCTGTCTAATTATGTTTCCATTTGTTAAATGCCTTCATCATGCCAGGCATCTTACAAGTTATCTTATTTCATCCTACTGATAGGCAGACACCATCTCCATTTTATAAAGGCTGGTAACTCTCATATTTGTATATTCGTTTAGTCTGAGCTCCAGATTCAAATGACTTGCCGTCTAACTTACGGTGGTCTAATCAGAGCTCTGATTTTCACTCCCAGATTTGTTCTTCCCAAGTCTTAGATTGCCACTACCACACACAATTGCTCAAACCACAAACCTCGGTTCTTCTTTTCCCCTCGCGCTTCATATCTAGTCTGTCAGGAGGTCCTGTTGGCTCAGCCTCCTGATATGAACACTGTGTCTGTCCATTTCACCCCTGACTTCCAAGTATCAGCCCTTGAGCTTTACACTGTTCTCCCTCCTTTTTTTTCCTTCTCACTCTGAGGAACTAGTCCACTGGACATTAAATGCTCTTAAATGCAGAGTAGGAAGGGAGGTCAAAACTGGATAATATGCCCTCTACAAAGGCTGCCCTGGTACCAGGACTGATCAGGGCTCCCTGTGCCACTTGAACAGACTTGAAAAAGACAGATGGCTGCTAATGAGAGTGACTTTCTACAGATTTGTTTTAATGTACACAGCAGCTAATGTTTGCCAGAATTTCTGCTGGAAATTGACTACTCATTAAAAAAAAAAAAAAAAAGAGTAGGGCTACATGCAAGGAGAGCTTAGAAAGGCAGATGAATTCAGAATCTACCAAATACTAGGAATCAACTGGGCAATGCTTATTCAGAGTTGGAAAGACAGGCAGGGAGGTCCAGGACCTGGCCAGAGGCCAGTGCCCAGGGATGAGATGGGATCCGGAGACAGCAGCGGGTTGTCTGGAGGGTAAGCACCTTGTCTAAGAGATGTGGCCACCTCCAGGCCCAAGGCGGCCAGCAGTCAGCCACCAGGTGTCCCAATAAGAACAGGAACCTTGACAGGTGAGCAGAGCCACCATGGGGATCCTGGCTGGGTGACGCTCAGAAACGTAGGCAAGCGTGTCTCAAATGTCTTAGGGCAGTGCACTGATTTCTTGGGCCTCATAGTTGTAGTGCCTCCATGATACAAATAATAATAATAGTAATAATAATAGCAGCTAACCTTTATTGAGCATTTACTATGTGCCAACCACTGTAATAAGTACTTTTTAGGACTCTTTACCAAAATCTAGTAAATACTACTTTTATTCCCATTTCACAGGTAAAGAAACTGAGGCATAGAGATATTATACCCCTAGTTGGTAGTGGTGACAGGATTAGAACCCTGGAAGGCAGTCTTCACTCATTTGGATTTTTTTTGTTGGTTTTAATTTTCAATCTCATTGTAAACTTTGCAATATTTTCACTCTCGTGGAATTAACAGAACTGTGACTTTGAGTTTCATAATTTACAAACCTGACCTCCTTTACCACTTTGATCCTGTTTTTGGAAATTGCCATTTTCCCTCTAGGAAGTCAGGGGGCATGCTTTTCTCCTCATTCCTCACCCGCAAAGGCTCCCATCCAGTGTTTACGCTGGGAATTCCAGCCTGGCCGTGGGGATCAGGGAATTCTGTCCATCCGAGGCTGAGCTCAGGTCACCAAGCTGGGGTCAGAGGAAGCCTGGTCAAAGGAAAGTAAGACCCTACTTCTAAGAGGGGCTTGGAGGACAACTGCAGGTCCCCAGGCTGGGGCAGAAAGCTGGGATGTGGGCAGCAGTCCAAGAAGAGGCATAGGTCTCAGGAATGGGGTAGAAGCCCACGTGAAGAGCAAACTAGCCACTAGACTGATCTGTGAAAAGACAAATTCATCCATTCCCTGACTTGCTGTCTGGCTTTGGACAAATAAGTTAATGTCTCTACACAATGGGAGCAGTGATCCTAAGCTGTAGTATTAACTGAGAGAACCTGTGCTAAGTTCCTGACGTATAGTAGCACTCAATAAATACATAACGCTGACACCATTAACAATACCACCTCCAAAGTGTTAGACTTGGGTACTAAATGACCTCCTGCCTTGGGTCAGGATCGATTTGGGGAACCAGGGATGTGGGAAGTGCTGTACACAAGGGTTCAGGAGTGCCCATCTGTGGAGGAAAGAAAGATACATAGTACAGGAACCAAGTTGAGCTTGTAAGAATTCACAAAACTTCAATTATTTGTTCCCTAATTTTAAGATGAGTCACTCCTCAGTGTTAGCCGAAGTCTAGGTATCTTTAGTGTTATTATACATACCAGATACCCATCTTCTACCGTGTCACTTCCCTTCCCTTATCTTGTCCCACCCCCCACCTGCTCTCTCCCTGACCTCCAACTCAGACTCTGGAAGATACAGGGGTAGGGGGCCTGCTCTCCTCGTATTAATAACAATAACTCCATTTTGAGTGCCCGCTAGATTTCTGTCCTGTGCTAGTGGTTGGGCTTGGGTGTCCTCGTACCTTACTGTCCAGATGGCACCGTCTAGCGTCCCATAATGACGCTAGCCAGCCAAGGCTGCACCAAGGGCTCTTTGAGAAAGTGCTCGAATTTGGCCACGAAGAGGCCTTTGCACTTTATCCATTTTGGGGGCGCACAAGATTGTATCAGGAGACTTCTGTCTGTGACACCTACTCTTCTTCCTCCTAGACACAGTCCTCTTACCAGCAACTCGCACAATGTTCCCTTCCTTTCCAGAACACCCTGGGGTCCCCGAGGCACCAACAGGCCCAAAGAATAGTTGTAGTGCTCTGAGCTTTTTAGAAGCAACATCCCACCTTCCCTTTTTTAAACTTTTTACCCAGACCACGCTCAGCATGAAAGGGCAGATGGGTTAACTTGCTACTGCTCTCTCCCAGGGCAGGATAGACCCCAGGCTGCCAGGCCAAGTGCTTCTCTAGCAGGGGGCATGCACCCAGACGGGCAGGGTGAGGACTTGGGACAGGAGGACCTTCCGGGGCCTCGTAAGCCACCCAGGCTGGGATGGCCTCTGCTGCTGCAAGGGGAGAAGAGAATAACGCTGTGGACTGGGCTGGCCTTGGCTGAGTCCCAGGGCTCTGCTGGGAGGGCCTTGTGTAACCTCAACGGTTCTTCTCTCTGTGGGTTGATACAGGTTCAAAGTTTCCTTCTGCACTTTTGGCAAGGAATGCCGCCCCACATGCTGCCCGTGCTGGGCTCCTCCACGGTGGTGAACATCGTCGGCGTGTGTGACTCCATCCTCTACAAAGCTATCTCTGGAGTGCTGATGCCCACTGTGCTGCAGGCATTACCTGACAGGTGGGCACGCTTCTTCTCATATCCCCTCATGGCTGGTCCTCAGCAGGTATTGTTCCTGCTTCTCATTTATTGAATAGAACCATGTACTGTCTGGGGGCCTCCCTTGTAAAGACCATTAATATTGGACTTTAAATTTTATTTATATTTTTGAATATAAATAAAATTTAGTATTTCCAGTATAAATAAAATTTAACATTTTGAACCTCTTGTATCACTCAAAATTCAAAAAGGATGATATGTTACACAGTGAAAAGTCTCCTAATCTTCTTCCCCACATACCCAGGTCCTCTCCCCAGAGCATCAAATACAGTCATTTTCTTAGGGCCCTGTCCGGATCTGCTATGCACATGTAACCAGTGCATGACATATACTTTTTCTTACTCAAATGATGACATACTACATATGCTGTTCTATACCTTGTTTCAAAAAAACAAGTCTTGGAGATTGTGTTGGGCAGCTTCTGTGCCCCTTCAGATGCAGGCTCCGCTGTGTTCCATGCTGCCTTCTGCCCGGTGAGGGGTAGGTGGGGAGGGTGGACTGCATGGAACTCCTTATGGGGCTCCCTTTCCCTCTGGCTTCCAGCCCTGATCAGCTGGTGGTGGGGAGGGGGTCAGAAGGGACATCAAAGGGAGGGAGGAGAGTGAAGTCAGGAGATTGCCTCCCTACCTCCCTCCCTATGAGGTCACCCCCCGGCTGGCCACGTACCTCCACTGGGCTCTGCTGCCCTCCAGGCCGCCTCTCTCCCTCCAGGTTGTCCTTTCATCATGAGGTGGATGAGAGCCTGCTGACCCTAACCCCTGGTTGCAGCGGTCACCTTTATGGGTTCTCCTATGCCTATCCACGCCTTTATGACTTGTCCCTTATAAACAAACTCTAGTGTTTTGAGTGGCATCTGTTTCCTGTTGGGACTGCTACAGAGAGCATTTTACATCAGTCTATAAAGAGGTGTTTTTTTTTTTTCTTTTTCACACCTGCATATTGTTCCTCTGTGTTGAGTTAAATTAGTTGTCTTGATGTTTCCAATCTTGTCCTATTACAATGCTGTGATGAATGATGTTTTTAGTACATTCTTTGCCGTGGTGCAGTTTGTTAGTTTCCTAGGGCTGCAATAACCAAGTACCACAAACTGGGTGGCTGAAAACAACAAACGTATTCCCTCACAGTTCTGGAGGCCACAAGTCTAAAATCAAGTTGTTGTCAGGGTTGGTTCTTTGCAGAGACTTTGAGGGAGGATCTGATCTGTGCCTCTCTCACAGCTTCTCATGGGTGCCGTCTATCCTTGGCGTTCCTTGGCTTGTAGCTGCATCACTCCAGTCTCTGCCTCCCATCTTCACATTGATTCCCACTCTGTGTCTTGCTGTCTCCCGTAAGGACACTTGTCGCTGGATTTGAGGCCCACCCAGTTAATCCAAGGTTTCATCTCAAGCTCCTTAATTTAAGCATATCCACAAAGGCCCTGTAATCATATAAGGTCAACTTCATGGGTTCCAATTGGACGTATTATGGGGGGGAACAACCCTTCATCCTACTACATAGAGTATATGTGCAGGATAAATTCCTAAAGGGCTGAATTCCTGGTTCAAAGGGTCTGTGACTTAAACTTGTCTCAGTGAGGTTTTAATTTGCATTTATCTTATTACGAATGGAGTTGAATATCTCTTCATGTCTTTAAGAGTGATTTCTATTTCTTTCCCATGAACTCTCTGTTCTTATCCTTTGACTATTTTTCCATTTGGTAGTTGATGTTTTTCTCATTGATTTCTTTTTTTAAATTTTATTTTATTTATTTTTTTATACACCAGATTCTTATTAGTTATCCACTTTATACATATTAGTGTATATATGTCAATCCCAATCTCCCAATTCATCACACCACCACCACCACCACTTTCCCCACTTGGTGTCCGTACGTTTCTTCTCTGCATCTGTGTCTCAATTTCTGCCCTGCAGACCAGTTCATCTGTACCATTTTTCTAGGTTCCACATATATGCGTTAATATACGATATTTGTTTTTCTCTTTCTGACTTACTTCACTCTGTATGACAGTCTCTAGATCCATCCACGTCTCTACAAATGACCCAATTTCTTTCTTTTTTATGGCTGAGTAACATTCCATTGTATATATGTACCACAACTTCTTTATCCATTCGTCTGTGGATGGGCATTTAGGTTGCTTCCATGACCTGGCTATTGTAAACAGTGCTGCAATGAACATTGGGGTACATATGTCATTTTGAATTGTGGTTTTCTATGGGTATAGGCCCAGTAGTGGAATTGCTGGGTCATATGGTAATTCTATTTTTAGTTTTTTAAGGAACCTCCATACTGTTCTCCATAGTGGCCGTATCAATTTACATTCCCACCAACAGTGCAAGAAGTTTCCCTTTTCTCCCCACCCTCTCCAGCATTTGTTGTTTGTAGATTTCCTGATGATGCCCATTCTAACTGGTGTGAGGTGATACCTCATTGTGGTTTTGATTTGCATTTCTCTAATAATTAGTGATGTTGAGCAGCTTTTCATGTGCTTCTTGGCCATCTGTATGTCTTCTTTGGAGAAATGTCTATTTAGGTCTTCTCCCCACTTTTGGATTGGGTTGTTTGTTTTTTTCATATTGAACTGCATGAGCTTTTTATATATATTGGAGATTAATCCTTTGTACGTTGATTCGTGTGCAAATATTTTCTCCCATTATGAGGGTTTTTTTTTTTTTTTTTTTTGTGGTATGTGGGCCTCTCACTGTTGTGGCCTCTCCCATTGCGGAGCACAGGCTCCGGACATGCAGGCTCAGCGGCCATGGATCACGGGCCTAGCCGCTCCACGACACGTGGGATCTTCCCGGACCGGGGCACGAACCCATGTCCCCTGCATCGGCAGGCGGACTCTCAACCACTGCGCCACCAGGGAAACCCGAGGGTTGTTTTTTTGTCTTGTTTGTAGTTTCCTTGGCTGTGCAAAAACTTTTAAGTTTAATTAGGTCCCATTTGTTTATTTTTGTTTTTATTTCCATTACTCTCGGAGGTGGATCAAAAAAAGATCTTTCTGTGATTTATGTCAAAGAGTGTTTGTTCTTCCTATGTTTTCCTCTCAGAGTTTTATAGTGTCCAGTCTTACATTTAGGTCCCTAATCCGTTTTGAGTTTATTTTTGTATATGGTGTTAGGGAGGGTTCTAATTTCATTCTTTTACATGTAGCTGTCCAGTTCTCCCAGCACCACTTACTGAAGAGACTGTCTTTTCTCCATTGTATATCCTTGCCACCTTTGTCATAGATTAGTTGACCATAGTTGCATGGGTTTATCTCTGGGCTTTCTATCCTATTCCATTGATCTATATTTCTGGTTTTGTGTCAGTACCATACTCTCTTGATTATGGTAGCTTTGTAGTATAGTCTGAAGTCCGGGAGCCCGATTCCTCCAGCTCCGTTTTCTTCCTTCAAGACTGCTTTGGCTATTTGGGGTCTTTTGTGTCTCCATACAAATTTTAAGATTTTTTGTTCTAGTTCTGTAAAAAATGCCATTGGTAATTTGATAGGGATTACATTGAATCTGTAGATTGCTTTGGTAGTATAGTCATTTTCACAGTATTGCTTCTTCCAATCCGAGAACATGGTATATCTCTCCATCTGTTTGTATCATCTTTAATTTATTTCGTCACTGTCTTATAGTTTTCTGCATACAGGCCATCTATCTCCCTAGGTAGGTTTATTCCTAGGTATTTTATTTTTGTTGCAATGGTAAATGGGAGTGTTTCCTTAATATCTCTTTCAGATTTTTTGTCATTAGTGTATAGGAATGCAAGAGGTTTCCATGCATTAATTTTGTATCCTGCAACTTTACCAAATTCATTGATTAGCTCTAGTAGTTTTCTGCTGGCATCTTTAGGATTCTCTATGTATAGTATCATGTCATCTGCAAACAGTGACAGTTTTACTTCTTCTTTTCCAATTTGTATTCCTTTTATTTCTTTTTCTTCTCTGATTGCCATGGCTAGGACTTCGAAAACTATGTTGAATAATAGTGGTGAGAGTGGACATCCTTGTCCTGTTACTGATCTTAGAGGAAATGCTTTCAGGTTATCACCATTGAGAATGACATTTGCTGTGGGTTTGTCGTATATGGCCTTTATTATGTTGAGGTAGGTTCCCTCTATGCACACTTTCTGGAGAGTTTTTATCATAAATGGGTGTTGAATTTTGTCAAAAGCTTTTTCTGCATCTATTGAGATGATCATACGGTTTTTATTCTTCAGTTTGTTATTATGGTGTATCACATTGATTGATTTGCATATATTGAAGAATCCTTGCATCCCTGGGATAAATCCCACTTGACCATGTGCATGATCCTTTTAAGGTGTTGTTGGATGCGGTTTACTAGTATTTTGTTAAGGATTTTTGCATCTATATTCATGAGTGATATTGGTCTGTAATTTTCCTTTTTTGTAGTATCTTTGTCTGGTTTTGGTATCAGGGTGATGGTGGCCTCATAGAATGAGTTTGGGAGTGTTCCTTCCTCCGCAATTGTTTGGAAGATTTTGAGAAGGATGGGTGTTAGCTCTTCCCTAAATGTTGGATAGAATTCACCTGTGAAGCTCTCTGGTCCTGGGCTTTTGTTTGTTGGAAGATTTTTAATCACAGTTTCAATTTCATGCCTTGTGATTGGTCTGTTGGTATTTCCTATTTCTTCCTGGTTCAGTCTTGGAAGATTATACTTTTCTAAGAATTTGTCCATTTCTTCCAGGTTGTCCATTTTATTGCCACAGAGTTGCTTATAGTAGTCTCTCAGGATGCTTTGTATTTCTGCGATGTCTGTTGTAACATCTCCTATTTCACTTCTAGTTTTAATGATTTGAGTCCTCTCCCTCTTTTTCTTGATGAGTCTGGCTAATGGTTTATCAATTTTATCTTCTCAAAGAACCAGCTTTTAGTTTTATTGATCTTTGCTATTGTTTTCTTTGTTTCTATTTCATTTATTTCTGCTCTGATCTTTATGATTTCTTTCCT